GTATGTTGGTCCATTATATTATATTATTGTTATGTGTTATCATCTATCGTCAGCCGAGTGTGAAACAGATGCAACCTTAACTTACTACCTAAGTTGCATGATCGGTTACAACTCCAAAAACAGCCTCAATTCAATGGACCCACACCACACCATTCCATTTCCTATTAACACTATCATATCCCTACACGCTACCATTTTCGTGTTTTCAATATCTAAATTAAATATCAATGCCAACACTCTACTTACACCTTCTCAAATTATGGTGTAGGAAATCCACTTGGTTGACATGGGTAGTCGTACACTTTTATTCTTTAAGAAAAGGTTAGGAGTTCGAACCCCAAATTAATATGATCAGCACTTTGCCCTTAATTAGACTGGGCCGATGCAAATGGAGATTAATCTAAGTATGGTACCAAAATTATCGCAAATTATGTTGTGAAACGGTGTCCACCTTGAACGGTCATAATTATGAATTTTTATAATTATAAACATATAGTTCAATAATTATGAAGATAGAATCGTGTCCATCTTGCATAACAATTGCAAGATTATAGGGTAGGTTTTATATACATATATTCAATACGTACTGTAGCCGTTTTTCTATTTGGGGCAAACCTAACACGTACTATTGCATTCTTTACATACCCAACTAACTAATAATCACTGCTAGCTTCTCTAACATTCCTATATTGTTAACATCCTTTCATCAAAATGTGAAACAATTACTCATGTCTGTAAAAAAAATTGTGAGGTGATAATTAAATTTAAAAGGTTTTAATTTTATGGCATTGTTAATTAATTTTTTTAGATAGATGGACTCTGATTTTTTTTTTTTTTTTTTTGAGTTTGAATATCTTTTACTGAGAGGAGTCGCATAGAGGGAAAGTGCTATCGAATATCAAGTACGAGCCATTCGATCTTATGCCTCTTTGTTTGCAAAGGTTTTCGGACTAGGATCCTAGCTACCACGAAATAGTTGAGAGTTCAAATCTTGATACCATCAACAATAACAATTCTAGCAATATGTTGTTGTTTTATAAAGATAATTAGTTCTTATTTATTTGAAATATTTTATTTTATTTATTTGAAATATTTTATTTACCCCGGAGTAATTTTTGTTAACAATTACACTTAAATTATATTCATAAATTGTATAGAAAATATTTTGATTAATTATAGAAAATAAAATAAAATAAAGCATGGAAAGGTTGACTTTGGGTTTTAAATAATGAAAATGAATAGGTTGACTTTGAAAAAGAACGCGGATTTGAGGTTCAAAATACGAGAATGACTTGAAACACGCCCAAATGTGAATGTATCCTAACGCATAACAGATTGTAATTTAAATTTAATTAATGCTCCATATAATAATAATAATAATAATAATAATAATAATAATAATAATAATAATAATAATAATAATAATAATAATAATGAAAAAGGGTCAAATAGGTCCATGAACATTACTTAAGAAGCCAATTAGACACTTAAACTTTTAAATGTTGCAACTAAACCCGTAAACATATTATTTTAGAACATTGAGGCCCAAATATGGTTGGTGACCTATAATTACAGATCTCTAGTGTTCTGACGAAACTCTAGCAAGATTCTAACCATATTCTGGCAAAAAACACCGGCGAAACGGTCACCGATGTCATTTGGTTTTTCTCCTTCGCCGGATCAAGAAGGCAACCAAAAGACACTGGCAATAGTTTTGCCGAAATATAATCAGAATTTTGCTGGAAACCTATTGATGACTTGTAATTATAGGTCATCAATTGATTTTTGGGTTTCAATATTTTAAAATAACATGTTTAAGGGCTTGCAATCTTTAAAAGTTTAAGTGTCTAATTGACTTTTTGAATAATGTTCAATGGCCTATTTGACCTTTTTCATAATAATACTGTACTAATAATAATAAATACAATAATATTTCACTAGGACTATGTGGTCCAATGGTACCTGGGTTGGACTTTCATTTGGAAGATTGTGAGTTCGAGCCTCAATTGAGGCGTTATTGGCTCTTTGTGTTTCAGTAGGTTGAAATAGTATATGAACAGATGCTTTACATTGTAATAGAGCTAGTTAGCATTCAAAAAAAAAAAATACAATAATATTTCGAGTAAAAATGTTGTCCAATCTATTAAAAATATAAAATAGTAATTAACACTATTTATTATATAATTATTAAAGTTAATTTTTTGAATACGTGTTATTTTTAAGTAGGATATTGTAAAAAAATGAAATGATTAAGTAGAACATGCATATAGAGTGTTTAAGAGGAGGAGGAGTTGCCACGTAGAGAACAGTGCACGTGCAATGCAACACGGAGTTCAAGTAAAATCCGCCGTTTTTGCACTAATTCCTCTCATTGTTGATCCCCATGCCGATACAAGAGTGAAGTACGCTGTATGTAGCCTCTGCCCGCATCTTTTTAATATATATACTTATACTAGGTTGATTTGGTGATTTTGGTCAAAGCCTTATTAGTTTACTCTTACAATTTTACTAAATTAGTAATGCATACATCAATTCAAAGAGCTTACAATATGCACTATTATGTGGGACTAACTCAATTAGTTTGACCGATCATTCTAAAATCTTGCTCCAATGGTATTGTAGGGGTCTCAGATTCTCAGTGTAAGGTGATAAAGATTCTTTATGTGCAGAGATGGAAGTATTATTAAATGACAATCGGGGAAGCAGGCACAAGGAGAATAATGTGTGATCATATATCAAGGTAGATGGGAATGTGAATTCCAATTTCAAGTTGTGAGTTTTGGGTTATTTATCATGCATGGTCTATTAGGGATGGAATAGAGGTTGTGGGAATGTAGAACTGGAAAGTTATTTATTGGTGGCTATTGAGAAAGTCTCACATGAAGAAAATGAGAGGGATTCATGCATATCTATATATCATTAATGTAGTTCATGAATTAAAGTAAGAATAATACCGTTCAACGAATTCTATGGCAATCAAAAAAAGGAAGACCAATATATAGGTGTGTAATTAATCAGGAAATTAAAGATCAACTTACTCTCTGTAATGGTAATGTATTGCAATGAGAAAATGATCAATCGGTCAAACAATTACAATTGAATATTTTCTATAACTATCCAGTCTCTCATACAACCATCAACTTACAGGACCCAGAGGGTTTGCTCCAAAAAACTACAATAATTTTAATTAGTATAATCAAAACACTACAAAATCATAGATCGAGAGAATTTCATATATTATCATATAAGGGTGTGTTTGGAAACCCGGAAAATGACTTCTGGAAGTCATTTTCCGGGTTTTTGGTGTTTGGTTACATTGGAAAATGACTGGTCAAAGGAAAATGGGGTGGAAGTCAATGGAAAAGGAAGGCAATTTTATGGAAAATGACTTCCCCTTTTTTTTGGGGGAAGTCATTTTCCAACTTTTACACCAACATCATCAACATCATACCACCACCACCACCACTACCAACATACCACCATCGCCGCCATCACCACCATACCACCGCCACCACCACCACCATACCACCGTTGCCACACCACCACCATCACACCACCTTCGCCGCCGCCGCCACCACTACCACCATACCACCGCAACCACCGTCGCCACCACTATCGTCGCCGCCACTACCACCATACCACCGCAACCACCGTCGCCGCCATCACCACCATACCACCGCCACCACCACCACCATACCACCGCAACCACCGTCGCCGCCACCACTACCGTCATACCACCGCCGCCGCCACCACCACCATACCACCACCACCGCCACCACCACCACACCACCGCCGCCACCGCCACCACCACCATACCACCGCCACCACCACCACACCACCGCCGCCACCACCGCCACCACCACCATACCACCGCAACCACCACTACCACTACCACCACCATACCACCGCAACCACCGTCGCCGCCACCACTACCACCATACCACCGTCGCCGCCACCACCACCACCACCACACCATCGTCATACTACCACCACCATCACACCAACACCACTACCGCCGCCGCCGCAACCATCGTCGTCGCCGCCACGACCATACCACCGCAACCACCGCCACCGCCACCACCACCATACCACCGCCACCACACCACCACCGTCATACCACCACCAATTATTATTATTATTATTATTATTATTATTATTATTATTATTATTATTATTCTTATTATTATTATTATTATTATTATTATTATTATTATATAACGAATAACACCACTACCACTACACCACCACCACCACCATAATATTTTTGATATATTATTAGTTTTTTTTTTTGTTGAAAAACTTAGCTATTTTTTATTATATTTAAAATTAATATTATATTATATTATTATATATTATTATACATGTTGTAATATTCTAAATAAAATAATTAAAATGTTTAATTATACAATTCTACTCATTTTCCAGAAAATGAACCAAACACACAAAAACAGTTTTCCAGAATGCAACCAAACACCGGAAAGGAAAATGTTTTCCGGAAAATGACTCATTTTCCAGAAAACATTTTCCAGAAGTCATTTTCCTGGTTTCCAAACGGACCCTAATTTACAAACATCATATCATCACATATTCACATCCATGTCATTCATTTGTGTTAGTTTAAACTTAATTTGTATTGGGTGTAAACATAAATTAAAACCCATGGAATATATGTGTGTGGGGGATCGGATAGTCTTTACTCTATAGGAATATGAATATTCCATGAGATCGAAGTAGTCCGGAGGGTTTGACTAAAAATTAAACCAGAAATGACTGAGAAGGAAGAAATGTGAGATTAGATTAGGTGCATATATTATATATACACACACGCTTCATCCGCCTATAGAACAGTGACTTAATAGATCCAACATGAGAATGTGGGGGCTTAAGCTTCACCCCATCCATTTCACATGCACCATACGCTATTTCTTTCTCCAAACGCCTCGCAAACCGCCCACGATCTCTTTCCAATCTTTCTACTACTCCACATGCGCATGCCTATCAAACCCCCCCCCCCCCCCCCTCCCCAACCGAACCATATACCTATATCTAAATCACATTTATATATACACAGATTATCCCCAGGCCACCTTAACTATTCAATCCTATATTACCCTAGCTTCTCTCTCTCTCTCTAAATCTTGAGATTCTATTATTCAACACACATATACATAGATAGATAGTAGTGCAAAATGTTGAGTAGTGAGAGTAGTCCAATGTTGGAGTGCCATCCAATTAGGCCAATTCTTATGGATAGGAAGTGGAAACCCAACATTGAGTTGGCTCCAAATTGTCCTAGGTGTGCCTCTACCAACACCAAATTCTGTTACTACAACAACTACAGCTTATCCCAGCCTAGGTACTTCTGCAAAAGTTGCCGGAGGTATTGGACCAAAGGTGGCTCCCTCCGCAACGTCCCTGTCGGCGGTGGCTGCCGCAAAAGCCGCCGCTCTAAATCCGCAAGGCAAGCCGCCGAACAACACCGTTCCAATGCCGCCGCCGCCGCCCACCACGTGCCTGGCGGCGGCTTCGACAACGGGTCGGCCGGCGCTGAAGAAATTGATATGGCCGCGGTTTTTGCTAAGTACTTGAATCAAGGCGGCGATCTTCAAGACAGCGGCGCTACTAGCTCCACTTCTGCGTCAATGGCGCTCAGCTCGTTGGACTCGGAAAGCCAAGTAGATGAACTACTGTTGTTGGATTATCAAGAAGGGGTAGACCCTCCGGATCCCCTGTTCATGGATCAATTAGTTGAAGAAAATAATAATGGTGAACATCTTCTTGATTACAACCAGAGCGCACTCGACTTGCAAGCTCTTCTTGAGGATGATCATTGGCCCAATTTTGCATGGCAACAACCCATGATTCAACAACAAGATCTCGGGACATTCTTCGGAGATGATGTTGTTTATCCGACCAAAAGTTCGACAAGCCTAGCTAATAATGATGTCTGGGGATCATTTGATCTGTCTGGTTGTGAAATTTTACCCAGACCTTGAAGTCTAGTTTTTGTTGGGTCGGGTGGTGAAATGGTAATTAAATTTCATACAGAGTAATATTTTTATTTTTAATTTTTTCTGTCCCACTTCCTACTTTCTTGAAAATGAACTGTCACATTAGTAGCTAGTACTAGGAAAGACATTTGATGAAATACGCATATATACCACATTATTGAGAAAAATGAAGAATTAAATTATGTAATGACACAGTTGAGATCGATCTTCTTTCTTTAATTTGGCTGCAAAAGTACTAGTATAGTTAATGGCGGAATTATATATTATATAATATAATGGTGTGTGATTGCTTAGCTTGCGGTGCGGATTAGAAGTGACAGTCAAGAAATTATGGCACATGGCTTGCATGTACATATATGTGTTACATGCATAGAGAGATCAGAGGGCCATCATAGCTAGCAGCTGTACGGTTTGTTTGATTTTGACATTTATTTATATCTCATTTTTAACCTCTCCAAACTCAACTTAAATATCTCAAATATAGAAAAAAAATACTAAACACATTTAAATGTTATTCCTCTATTTTCTAAAACCCTAATCTTAACAGAGGACCACGTGAAGGTAAATTAATTTGGATTGGTTTAAAAAAAAAAATTGGATTATATATAATTGAGCAGCTAGAATAAAAAAGGCTAGCTAATTAATAAATAGCTTATACTAAAAGGCAAGAAAAAGAAACATAAGGAGACCACGTCCTCCTTCAATCCATAAAACATTATAATAAATATTTAATGTACTTGTACCAAATTAAAGAGGTTAGCTAGCTAATTGGTACGTCATTTTTCCCCACTAATACCTATATATATGTTGTGCTAATTAAACAACTTCTCCGATCCATCTCCAACTGGTGAAGCTAAGGGGCATATATAAGAGGAGTCTCTGCATGCATCTGAATTGTGTTTAGAAGGGAAAATCTTTGAAGCCTAGCTAGCTATCTCTAAATAATCCCCAGAGATAAAACTCCCCTTGGAATCCTGCAAAACAGTTTTCATCACCCAGATTAGCCATTCAAAGGATATGATGAATTGAAGTTAAGAAAGCATAGAAAATTGAGGGTGGACTTACTCCAGTATATCAGTGGCAGTTCTACGGAAGTAAAAATCAAAAGCTCAGAATTTTCCAAAACTGCTTTCATTGCAAGTCTCTCTTGCATCATCATCTCAACTAAAGAAACAAACTTGCTTCTACATCTATGGCAATTAAGAAAAAGGAATGTCAATTCAAATTTCATAAGAAACTTGTCACTTCATAATAGATCAGAGACAAAATCTAATCATCATCAAAAACCCTTTAACATCTATCTAGGATTAACAATAAATGAGAACAGAACAGACAGTAAAATCATGCCAATTAAGAATATCCAAACCGTTACTTTTTTTTGGCTGCAAAGAAATACAGGTCAATATTTTGATCAGTTGGCACTGAGGTATCGAAACTCTCAGGCCAAACAACAGATACGGGAAGCATCTCCAGTTGAAGCATTGGTGGAAATGACTTTGCTTCCTTGTAAACCTTTTCGCTTGCTCTAACTGGTAAATGAGCTGCAAGTCCATCTAAGATGTCATAATCTTTGTAGCATATTTTGAAACATCCCCTGTGAGCAGATCAGATTTGGGTAATTAAAAATGTAATGTTCACTGTATTAATCCACGAATTGAATGCAGCTCAAAGTTAAGATCTTTACTAACCTCCAAATAATATTAATAACAGGCAGTCCTGGCTCGTGGCATGCAGCTAGTTGAGCCTGTGTATTGCAGCCAACACGGGGTTGATTAAAGGAACCGATAGTGTTGTCTACGCACTTTGAAGTGGTACCGCTATTACTTGATAGCTTCCTTCCTCTAAATACTCCCCAGAGATAATACTTCCCTTTCAATCCTGCAAATTAAACATACAGTAGTTAAGAAAGCAATAAAATGAATTCCTATAAATGAAAAATTGAGGGTGCAGGACTTACTCCAGTATAGCAGTGGCACTTCTTCAGAAGTAAAAATCAAAAGCTCAGCATTTTTGAAAACTGCTTTCATTGCAACTTCCTCTCGCATCATTATCTCAACTAAAGAATCAAACTTGCTTTCACATCTATGGCAACAAAAAGGAATGTGATCAATTAAAATTTCATAATAGAGACCCTTACAATCAAAGTAAACCCTTACTTTGTGTCTGCTGGAAAGAAATACAGGGCAATATTTTCATCACTTGGCTCTGAGGTAAGGAAACTCTTAGGCCAAACAACAGATTTGGGAAGCATCTCAAGTTGAAGCATTGATGGAAGTGAATTTGCTTCCTTGTAAGCCTTTTCGCAAGCTTTAGCTGATAAATGAGCTACAACTCCTAGTCCATCAAAGATGTCATAATCTTTGTTGCATATTTTGAAACTTCCCCTGTGATTTGGGAAACATACACATACAGTAATTAAAAATGTAATGTTCAAATTTGGTTAGCAATAACACGAATTGAATGCAGCTCAAAGTTAAGATCTTTACTAACTTCCAAATATTATCAATAACAGGCAGTGCTGGCTCATGGCGTGCATCACAAGATTGATCATTGGTTTTCTCAGAATTGTGGACCTTATCCTTGCAGTCGTCACAAATCCATCTCACAAATTCATCAAAACTCTCTGGAATAACATCTAGGCAGTAGCTGAAAGGGTGGGTGGTAAAACAGACAAAAAATCAACTTTCAACAATCAAGTAAAGGAAATTAAAGAAAATAAATGTAGTAGAAAACTGAACAAAAATGAATTCCAAATTCATAGAGAACTTAACTTGAATCAATTCATTTAAAGAATTTTCAAACAATATAATCAATCATCTTCTTTCTGATACATACAATGAATTCATTTTCATTTCCAGCAAATTCAAACGTAACATACAGAGTATTGCAAAAGGTGTATAAGGATACTTTATAACATACATACATACATACATACATGTGGCCAAAATTGTTACACTCAAACATAATCCCATTTTGAGTTTGCGCAATAATGAAACATACAGTAGTAGTTGATTTAAAGAATAGAAAATTGAGTAAAATGTATGAGCAGAGTAGATAGATGATGATGATGATGGAGCTTACCGATGCACAGCAAATTCCACACACTTGATACAGAAAACGAAAGCATTAGGGTATCCCCGGTCACCACATTGTAGGCATATAGTATCCTGAAGTACGTAACAAGGAACATTCACACGTATAAAAAAGGTATATATTCAAACCCGCATATATATAATGTAATCAAGAAACTGAAAATATAAAAACCCATGGAACGTAACTTACATCGGGAAGTGGACGATTAGGGGAATCAGCCATGGCAATGGAGCAGCTTCTACTGTAATCCAACAATGGGGGTGTCTGGTAGCCTATTGTAATGAATGTTAAAATGAAAGTAGGGAAAAGGAGAAGGATAGAAGAGAATTGTAAGAGGAGAAGAAGAAAAGAAGAATTTGCAGAAGAAGGAGAGAAGAACGGAGAGGGTAGAGAGAAAAAAGAGATATTCTTCAGTAGGGGATAGATGACGGATTGGCAGTGATCATGGTGAGGCTAAGCTAGAAGAAGCTTTCATGTTTGAGCTGAAAAGAATGAATGTTACAACAGCAACTGAGAGCCAAAGCAAGCTCTTATTACAAAACCCAAAAAAGGGTTATAACTAACCAAACAATGAAAAACACATAAAAGCCCCTTTATTATATTTATCACTCCTTCATCAACTCTTCATTTCTTCTTCATCACCTCTCTATATCTTCATCATTATACATGGGAATTATCTTCTCCTGGTCTTTGTTTTGTTATTCTTTTTTTTTTTTTTAATTTTGTTTTCTTGTTTATTTTCATGCGAATTGTTTGCTGTTTGCGCAATGTCTTTTTTCCCAGCCATAATTTTGTTTTCTTGTTTATTTTAATACGAATAATTTCTGTTTGCGCAATGTTTTTTTCCAGCCACATACAAACAAAAATTTGTTTTAAATTTTGGACACAATTCAAATATGTAATATTTTTTTTAATTATTATATTTAAAATGATTAAAATAAATAGAGCAACAACAAAAATTAATTTAAATATTTATTATAATTATTATTTAATTAAATGTAGGTATGTTTATTTTAATTAATTTTCATAATTATAAATTTATAATTCAAATAAATAAAGAAATAATTAAACTTTTTTAGCCTGCTTCTAATTGATTATCTCACATTTTGATTGCATATTTAGGAGTGCAAAAACCTAATTTGAAGAAATATGTGTGCAAACTGCTGAAAGAAATCACATATTGCTTTAAATTGGAATGCAAATCTTAAATTTTTAATTTTACTCTTCATTTTAACACTAACTAAACATCAAAGCTAATGGAAAATCATTTTGAATTAAAATTCAATAGTCGCAGGATCACTTTGAGAAAATTAAAAGTCAAGAGACCAATTTGAGAAAGAGTTTTTTCCACTTTTGGTCCCTCGACTTCACTTGTGGTGACAAATGGGATTCACGACTTTTATTCCGGACATAATAGGTGCTCAACTTTAATTTTTTTTCCACATTTGGTCCCATCCGACCAAGAACCTGGCCAACCCACCGGAATTAGACTCAACCCTTGTTATGTTAAGGGTATTCTAGTCATTTCTAACCCATGTAAAATAATTAAATATAAGATTTATTCTGTATATACACCTCATTCTCGCCTGGTAGAAGCTCGGCGACAATCACCGGCGTTGTCTGGTTCAAGATTCATGGTTGTATTGTTATACTAGCATGAAACAAGATATTTCTTTGAACCCAACTCTCAACTCCTCCCACTGTGTCCTCGAATTCCATTTCTCCATTGACGACCTTCATCTCCACCAGCCATAGCTCCGGCGCCACTTGAAGAATTTCCACCATTAACGTTACTCTTGCTTTTACCAGTCTGATTCCCCCTCCCTTTCCCCTCTCCACCCTATACCCTGCTTCACTCCCGATCTTCTTTACCTTCTCCTCAACCTCTCCAACCTCGGAATTTGTGGTGAATCTCATTTCTTTCTTGTTCAATCCCGCCTGGAATAGCCCTGATAGATCCAACCCGGGAGACATTGAAATGATATCGAATGCGTTCATTTTGGTTAAGTGTTTGCAATCTTTGTCGAACTCTTGGTTCCCGAATTGATGTTCGTCTGTCAAATCTATCACTGATGATGACTTCTTGAACCGCGGGAGCTTCATCAGTTCCTCGATGGACATTCTGGTTACCGGATTGGGATCGAGCAGCCGGAAAATTATGCTCCGGGTGGGCTTTGTGATCCAATCCGGGAACTGAAACGCGCGGCTTCGTATTGCACGGTACATGTTTGATATATTGCTGTCGTCGAATGGGAGGTACCCTGCGAGGAAGGCGAAGAGGATGACGCCGCAAGACCACGCGTCGGCCTTGGCGCCGTCGTAGCCTTTTCTGATCATCACCTCCGGGGCGGTGTAGGCCGGAGTACCGCACGCGGTGTGGAGGAGGCCGTTCCGAATCTGCTCCGGCAGCGTGGAGAGGCCGAAATCGGAGATCTTGAGCTTGCCGTCCTTGTCGAGGAGGAGGTTCTGGGGCTTGATGTCACGGTGGGTGACGCCGTTCTGGTGGCAGAAGTGGAGGGCGAAGACGAGCTGGTGAAAATAATACCTCGCCGTGCGAAGAAATATCTTCCTTCTTGGCACACCTTCGATTTGAATAGAGATAGGCGAGAATGAGGTGTATATACAGAATAAATTTTATATTTAATTATTTTACATGGGTTAGAAATGACTAGAATACCCTTAACATAACAAGGGTTGAGTTTAATTCCGGTGGGTTGGCCGGGTTCTTGGTCGGATGGGACCAAATGTGGAAAAAAAATTGAAGTTGAGCACCTATTATGTCCGGAATAAAAGTCGTGAATCCCATTTGTCACCACAAGTGAAGTCGAGGGACCAAAAGTGGAAAAAACTCATTTGAGAAAAGATCATAGTCAGAGGACTATTTTAAGAATTCACTCTCTTTAAATATAAATATAAATATAAATAAAAGTTTCACAATTATATGCGGGCACACACACCACAGGATTGCAATTCCTTCATTTTCATGGAATTAAAATTCCATGTCCCCGGAATTTTAATTCCATGGATTTTAGGAAGAAAAAAATATAATGATTAGACAAAATTATCATCCCTTTTTAACCTAAAATTGACGCCGGACAACAATAATGGGTATTTTGAACTTTATACTACTTATTCCCTTTCAATTCCTATGTATACCAAACATTGGAATTGAAATTCTCAGTAATTTTATTCCTGTAAACCAAACACTGAAATTTAAATTCATAATTTATTCCCAGTAATTCATCTCCCATTAAATTGTAATTCCTTTCCCACGTAATTCCCTCACTCCAACCAACTCCCTGTTAGAATTCTAATACGTGCACTCTCTTTTCTAGTCATTTATGAGACAAAGAATGATAAATTATATTAATCTTAAGGGACTTAAAGAAAAAATATCAACATAAAATTTTTAGAAACTAAAAGTTGAGAATAGAATTTTGGAGTAGAAGCATTATTTTGTTTCTAATGTAGGATAGATTACAAATTTAGTTGAGATTGAAAAGGACAGAGAGAGTGAAAAAAAAAAAAAAAAAAAAAAAAAAAAAAAAAAAAACTATGGTTGAATTGTTTTAATGTCGTCATCCAGGCCAGCTATTCTCTCTATTTTTAGTTCCTTTAGTCTTTTACCACTTTTTTTTTTTTTTTTTTATCTTTTCTTTCTCATTACCCCAGGTCTTTTACCACTCGAGGGACACTATTTATATATAAATATTATAACTATAAATTTAAATTTAAATTGATGTTTTTTTTTTTTTGAAAACAATTTAAATTGATGTTAGTAATAGAATTAATACTGAAACGAAAACAATTCATCAATGTTAATTAAATATAATTACAATATTTATGTTACTAGTACTTGTTTAAAATTATAATTATAATATTGATAAATGGTATCAAGTATTTTCACATTTATTTTGATTATCGGGTAACATTTATGTGAGACCGTCACACAGGTCTCAATACGTGTGACAGGTTGGATCTTTGATTAA